GACTTTTGTCGGGAAAGATACCAGTCTAGGACATGACTACCAGCCATGACTCACTTTCAGTTAGAAAGTTTTAATTTCAGACCATCCTATGTGGTTACTTTAGGTCTCTGAGTTGTTGTTTTTAATTTTTTTTAAAAAATATTGATTTTAGAGAGAGAGGAATGGGTAGATAATGAGAGCAAGAGAAACGTTGATTTGTTTCACTCATTTATGCATTCATTAGTTGATTCTTTATGTGCCCTGATCTGGGATAGAACTCACAACTTTGCTGTATCAGGACGATGCTCTAACCAACCGAGCTACCCAGTCAGGGCTAGGTCTCTGAGTTCGTAAGGCCCACCATGCAGGTTTGGTATTTACCCCCTTTTCATCCACACTGCCTCGGAAGGTGAAAGGGTGAAATGAATGATGGAATTGAGAACCTGCTCAGAGCCTCCTTGCATATCGTACTCAGTAATGCAAGCACTTCTGTCCTCATTCCCAATATTGGGTGTCTTGAGGGTAGTGGTCAAAGTCAGCTCTGCAAGGACTAGCACAGCTTATGGTGATTCTGTTGCCAGTGGAAATGGGGTCCTTTCGTGGGACTATAAAAAAAGCATTTCCAGGGACCCACACATGGGAAAGTGGGGTGTTGTGGTAAGGTATATTGAAGCTGGAGCAAACACAAAGGACTGTCCTGGGTTCAGCTCTGTCCCATTGTGGGAAAAGTCCAGCCTTTCCTTCCTCAGACCCAGACATAGGGCCAGTGTCTAGAAATTCTGTGCCATGTGAAGACTTAGTCCAGGTTAGGCTCTGTCCCCATCTGGCTCGCGTGGTCTGTTTCCAGCTGTGCTTTGGCTGGTTCAGTGCCCAGGTTCAGGCTTGGAGCCCACACTTGCAGTCTGTGTGGCTGCGGGACCCCAGGTGGCTGCTAGGCCCCCATGGTTGCTATGGAGAGAGAGTACATGAACAAACCCAGCAAACGCATGTTACCTGGCAAGAGAGAGCTTTGTGAAGCTTGGGTTACAGTATCTTCTCTTGGGCTTGGGAAGGACTAGGCGCTCTTTCAAACTAACCAATCAATTTCTCAATCCTTTACAGGCTTGCATTGGGTCCTTGCCCTAACCAATCCATTTCCTCTATCTTCCAGGGTTCTGTGTCCCCTATCCAATCGGATCCTTTTCCCAGGCTAGGCTCCTCCTCTTTATACTTGCCATCTTAGTTCCTATTGTGAATGCATTGTAGGAGAACCACCTCCCCCAGCACCATCTAGGCTTCTATTGAGCATGCCCCCAATAAAGAAATGTCCCCTTTATTGCTTATTCCTCCCCCTGTAGTTTGGAGAAACAGACCAGTTGTACCCTGGAGAGACTGGAAAGCCAGTCTTTTCTCCCTACAAGGGGAGGGAAGAGAAGGGTATCAATCCCCCTGTTCCAGCAATACTGTGATCCCTAAGTGAGGTGCCTATGAATGCTACAGCTTCCTAGCAAAGCAGGACCAATATTTGATTCAGCTCCCTAGTTTATTATGCTTAATAATGTCTGAATCCCTTTGCTCTCTTCATTAATATCTAGCTACCTATGATAACAATGCCACAGCCAAATCTCCACTCCTCAGTCAAGCTGAGGAAATGGGATGAGGATTCTATTTTCTTCCCCACAAATTCAGCTGCTGTGTGTGAACCAGGGACAGTGTGTGCCTGAATCACCTTATGATTTACTTTTAGATAAATGTTGTGCAAACCATGAACCTTAGCCATGATTTCTTTTTTCTATTTAATAGGAACATATTTCCCCTTGGGAATTAATCATGTTGAAAGTTGAATTTTCCCTTTGACATGACATTTGTGTTTTTTCAGCCACTTTAAGGTAAAAGAGAATTATTCTTTTTTTAAAATATATTTGTATTGATTTCAAAGAGGAAGGGAGAGGGAAAGAGAGAAAGATCAGTGATGAGAGAGAATCATTGATTGGCTGCCTCCTGCATGCCCCCCACCCGGGATGGAGCCCGCAACCCGGGCATGTGCCCTGACCGGGAATCAAACCATGACATCCTGGTTCATAGGTCAACGCTCAACCACTGAGCCACGCCGGCCAGGCAAGAGAGTTATTCTTAACAGGAACTGCCTACTGCTTTTCTGAGTATGAATATAATTTCCCTTGGGAACTTAATGGTTATTATGAATGTAATCTCATGCCTGAGATCTACTTAATGTTCAGATTAGCTGTCTCTAAACTTGGTCTGTGTGCTTCCACACCATCAGATGTCTCACCTCTGCTTTGGCCACAGCTGTCTGCTTTTCTCTCTGCTTCTCAGTAGCACTGACTTAGGTTTTTGTCAGGATGTTTCAGTTAAGATAGAAAAGCCAAAACAGGAAGTGAATTCTGGGGGTAGGGTGGGCCTGGTACAGCTTGGCCAGGCCTCCATGCATCTCTCCTGGGCTCCATGTCTTCTGCACTTCCCTGTTCCCAGGCAGGCCCCGCCCTGTGATGACTAAAAGGCTACTGTAGCTCATCTCTGTCTTGTCTTGTGCATATTGCTCATGTCTTTGTGTCTGCTTCCTAGGGGCCCTGATAGCATTGAATGGTCAAGCATGAACTTGCCACTTAGGCCAGGGACTGAGATTCTGGGAATAACCATTACAAATGCCCTAGCAGCCAGGATGGATCCCTGAAAATGTAGGGGACAGGATGAAGCCCAAAATCAATCAGGATGGCTTTACCAGAGAGGGGCAGTAAGGACAACCTAGCCTGTTAACAGTCTACCTATAAGCCTTTTACAATGCCCCACCAGGCAGGGGGCGGATACAGACTATTCTGGAAAAAAAGCTGTTCTGCCATGACTTCCCACAGCACCCAGAGGTGCACAAGTATGTCTTTCCCAGTGAGTTGCTTTTCTGTGCATCCAGACTACCTCAGTGGGCGCCTGAGAATCCCCCCAGCCTCCCTTCCCCCATTCCTGAGGCACAAGAACTATCACCATCCTGGGAACAGCCACTCCCAGCTCCTGCTTTAGAGGCAACAGTGGGTTTGGGTTTTGTGGGAGCCAAACCAGCCTTTCACATCACCTCTCACGGCACCAGTTCAATGTGTCCTTCTGTTTCTCTGTCTAGTGAAGGACATGGGAAACCTCATCCACCCACATCGAGTGTAAAGACAACCTGGGCTACATGGGATGTCTCCCAGGCAAGCAGTCTGTGATGTAGGATGCAGTCTGTGATGCTGATTCAGCTGCCTAGAGGCCCTTTTGTGTCCTAATTCTCATCTGTGTTTTAGGTCAGCACTCACTACCAGACACTGCGTGATGACTGCAATGTTCTCATCCACATGTCCACTGTGCAGGCTGACATCTGAGCCATTTCATAACTACAGTCTTCTGAGTGCACCACACATGTGACAGGTCCAGGTGCATGGTTCTCTGTGTCTAAGCACTGTGACAATAGACCGTCACTCGGTATATCTGTGTGCTACAGCCAATGGCCACTCCGTTGGTGTCACAGGTGTACTTGCCTAATCCACCCCAGAGGCCAGCACAGCTACAGCCCACAGTAAGTATCCAGTACACCATACACTCCTTAAACACCTACACAGGTGCAAGGTACTATGGACTGTGAGGTAACGACAAGGATAACCTTTCCCTGTCCTCAGCAGGCTACCTTCCCCTGTACTCCACACCATCGTCCCTGGCATGCTTGGCTAATAAACATACACTTTCTGACTTGATGATTTACATCATCCTGCTAACCTGAGGGGACGTAAGGCACATTGAAAGAGAGAAACTTGATTCAGGGCTCCAGCCCTCATCCCTGGGCCTCTATGGTTCGTATGCCCCAACGACAGAATGAAGACAGGCAGAGTTCTAGCCGAATTCATGCTCTCAGTTACCGGAGTTTTCACTGGCTTCCCTGAACCACCCCACAAATTTGGAGCATGTTGACCTCCTACCAAGAGGTATCCAAGGTGGGGAGGGGGAAATCTTCCCAGATCACAGCTTGGAGAAACAGAACGTGTGACTGGAGCAGCTTTAGAACTAAAAGGGGAGCACATCCATGCCACCACTTTACAAGTTGAGTTTCATTTGTACACAAACCAAGAGAAGTAGAAATTTATACCAAAAAAGGATGCTGCAGGCTCGAGCATTCTCAAGAGAGCTGTGTTGACTGAGGTACAAACACTTCCAATTCAGATTTCCAACTATGGCAAACCATCATTACAAGTGCACCCCGATCCTCTCCATGTTTGCCCACGGGCAAAGGCAGACAAGATTTTCAGAACTCTAGATGTCCTCTATGGTTCGTATGCCCCAACGACAGAATGAAGACAGGCAGAGTTCTAGCCGAATTCATGCTCTCAGTTACCGGAGTTTTCACTGGCTTCCCTGAACCACCCCACAAATTTGGAGCATGTTGACCTCCTACCAAGAGGTATCCAAGGTGGGGAGGGGGAAATCTTCCCAGATCACAGCTTGGAGAAACAGAACGTGTGACTGGAGCAGCTTTAGAACTAAAAGGGGAGCACATCCATGCCACCACTTTACAAGTTGAGTTTCATTTGTACACAAACCAAGAGAAGTAGAAATTTATACCAAAAAAAGGATGCTGCAGGCTCAAGCATTCTCAAGAGAGCTGTGTTTAGACTGAGGTACAAACACTTCTGATTCAGATTTCCAACTATGGCAAACCATCATTACAAGTGCACCCCGATCCTCTCCATGTTTGCCCACGGGCAAAGGCAGACAAGATTTTCAGAACTCTAGATGTTACAAAGAGCATGTACAAGCAAACCCACACATTCCCCATGTTGTTTGCATGTTATGCTTCCAAAATATAAAAGTACAAAAATAACACATCCAACCTTTTATATCTAGAAACATCTGGAAAAAACCTACCTGCTTCTACTTCTCGGTCACCTGAGCAGGCACACTTTACCGGGTTTTTCACCTTCCTGTGCAGTCTGGCGCGGGCACAGAGACAGAGACAACAGGGACTTCTCATTCAAGGAAACCAAATTCAGGACAAGGAGAACAGACTCTAACCAATTTTATAGAATCGTCGCATGGGTTCTCCAACACAAAGGGGAAGGGGTTTTAGCACGGACTTTCCACGAGGGGCGGTGTGGGTTATGTGCTGGGAGGGCACTTCTCTGGGACATCTAAAAACAAGCCAACTGACAGCCATGTCCTAGGACAAGTTAGGGGCTTGGGCGCTGGGTCTTGGTCACAGCCCATCACTGGCGAGCAGCCTTCTTGTCTTTGTGCTTCTGGTAGGCACTCAGTATTTCCGAGATGATGTTGGGGTCCTCCAGGGTGGTGGTGTCCCCCAGATCCTGAGCTTTGCCCGTGATGATCTTCCTCAGGAGCCTCCGCATGACTTTTCCAGACCGAGTTTTTGGAAGGCGTTTCACTATCTGGCAAGGAAGGGGTGCAATA